GCTTTCTAGGTACTGAACAGTTTTTTCAGTATTGCTTCGCAACCTGACGCTAAACAGAAAATCACATGCTTAGTCGGAATGGAAGAAGGTACACCTGATAAAGAAAAGGTAGAGAGGGCAAAACAAGTTTTTTTGGAATATATGTAAAAAGAGCGAGATTGTGAAGTGAATTAAACGTTTTTTTAGAAGAAGAAGATTCTTCATGATAAGTACGAGTCACAATTTGACCGTTTCATAGTCACTTTTCATCCAAAAAATTTGCCAGGAGATATACCCGGTCAGTCAATGCTTATAACTCTTTACTTTTTTCTGAATCTACTAACTATGATACAGGTAAATGCTCAAACTTCAATTACGCCAGCCGTCAAGCAGTAAAACAATTGAGACTTGACAAGGTTAGTGTTGAAAATCATTTTAATAGCATCATTTTTCAATATTTTTAGAACTATCCACTTGATAAATTTGGCAACAAAGTCGAGCTTCTTGTGACAACAGGAGATTGCGATTCCATATTTGGTGAGAGATATTTTGATGCCATGGAGGAGGACTACTGGAAACTTACGGCTGAGGTAACGATCATGATTTTATTAGCAATTTTTTTATTAACTTCATGAAATTATTTTAGCAACGCCGCTCTACTATATGGCAATCACCTCTTTTCTACTGTATCAATCTTGACAAATCTCCTTTCTTTGTAAGAGTCACTGGTCTACTAAGGTACCTCCAAATCTTATCGTGTACATATTTTTTTCTATTGTGCGAATTTTACAGAGCTTTCTTCATGATGGGGTTTTTGATACCTTGGAATATCAACACAATGAGCATTTTCTCGCTGACTTTACCTCTGCTTGAGGCTGGCGAATATACTCATCCAGGCTACCAGGTATTCTATCCTTACCGTTTCAAAAATACTCTTGGAGGTTTAGCACTTTATTGTCATAAAATCAGACTGGATTGCGATTCATACATCAGCAACGATCATAGAGCAATTTTCAGAGCCGCTGTGCTCTTCAAATGACCTATTAATCCTGCCATGGGGATTTAGAATTTTACGCAAAAATATGCAACCTAAATTCCGGATTCCAGAAAACGTCACCATGATAAGAAATTCGTTTATTTAGTCATAATCGAAAATATGCTCAAAAGGTTTGCATTGCGGGGGGTTATCAGGATGTTTTCGCAGTTCTCACCTAGTGTTTGTCGAGAGCGTAGGAGGTTTCCGTCCGTAATTCGTAAATCATTTTCGTCTCAGCAAATTATCCACAGTCTGTTGAACGCATATATGGAACAAAACGCATATGAAATACTTAGCTTAAACGATTTTCCTATAGGCTAATTCGTTAATCAA